ATATATATATATATATATATTATCATTATTTTCTTATAAAGATTATTTTGCATTTTTAGCTTAGAATTTGTATTTAAACCTAAATCTAAGCTGGCAGAACCTCTCGAGATATTACTGGTATTATAGCCAAAAATATCGTTAGTAGCGAGAGTACTGAACTGATGAAGCAATGTATTCTGACCTTTGTAAGTAGAAACTTAAGAAAATATATTTCATTAGCTATAGTGATGATCAGGTTGATTTTTAGTTTCGCTAGCTTACCTTGATCAGAAATTATTATTAATATCGATCCAGAGAATCATTTGTGCATCGATAATTTTACAAAAGCAACGTGCGAGGTTCAGTTTAGGATTCAAGTTTAAGTTGACCAAGCGAGTTGGAAATTTTAATAAACTTAGCGTGGAAATATAAGACGCACGAATACTGCTTATTAGACCGGAAAATTTCGTTAAGTGAACATTAAGGTGAAAAAATCAATGCATCGTTACAAATCAATCTGGTAACAAAAATGTATGAATATGATATTAACAAACAAAAACGCACATCGTTTTTTGTACAGATTCCACAGGTATAGTTGAATAAAAAGCTACAGAAGAAAAAATGAATTCACAAACGTCCACCGGGAACTTGTATCACAGCAGTATTAATTATGTAATTGCTTGAAAGATTTGAAATTAACATTCCATCTTTAGAGAAATACCCGTATAATATAACTATACCAAAGGTCCAAAATATATAGAGAAGAAATTAGATTTTTATCCTATTGGTTTGTCTATTACGGTTATTTATTTTTACGTTAGATAGGTATTATTTTGTTAGTATTTTTTGTTGTCAGAAGTAAATTGCTTTTGTTAAATAACATACCGTATATAAAAAGTGAAGAATACTATTCTAAAAGATTGTGAAAAGGTTTCTAATACTTTTAACGATAGAACACAGTGAATATTATTCACTTGCATAATATTTAATGAACGAAACTTGATGTATAACATTTTGAGCGGACTATTATCATGTGAAAGCCAGTATATATATAATGCCAGCTTTTATAACAAACTACAAAACTATACACAGGCGTTACACATAAATAAATGTGGAAGTGTCACACCGCTGTCTTAAATCTTACACAATAAATTAACACTTATAGTGTATAAGGTACTTTACTGAAATGTCTGTGTAACTTACTCGATAATTGTGTAAAGTTAAAGGTTTATGCATTTTTTCACACTGCTAGCGTGTAGATAATTACGTAAAACGTGTGTAATTTTTACCAAATGTGTGACAAGCACTTTTTGTGGCGTATAAAAATACGTATTTTTAATTTCAGATTTCGTGAACAGTTTTGAGCTGATACTTTGAACCATCCGAACTATTTTTTACCTCTAACATTTTTACTCGATAGTCTAGACCAGTGATTCCCAACCTTTGGTTCCCAGACCCCTGGGGGTCCGCGAAAATAATACCATCTCATTAAACACGTAAGTTTTTTTAATTCTGCTGTTCCTTTAATTGCACACTCAGTTATATATTTATTTTATTTGATAGTGAAAAATGGAAAAACAAGTTAATTGGGTAGATGGAATCTTTCAAAAAACATGGGGTCCGTGGGGAAAAAAATAATAATAAAAGGGGGTCCTTGGTGGTGAAAAGGTTGGGAACCGCTGACCTAGACGGAACAATGGTATGGTCGATATGTCATGAACACAGAATCTCCCCGAGACTTATAAAGTTCACTTAATCCCTTTTAACGATATTTTCTTTAAACTTGAACATGTGGGTTAAATTTTCGTTGGGATAGCAGATCGTTGATCACAGATTAAGTGATTTGACAGTTAATATCGAATAAAAAAAAAACAAACAATTATTTCAGTCTTGTTTTACATCGTTTATAAAATAATTCGGTTGATTCTGACACGAAAGTCGAAAATGCATGTGCCAAAATCCGTTTCGCATCAATATCATATAGAAATTTGAATTTCGCGTTTTCGACAAACCTTCGGCCAAGAACATTTTCCTGATAGTGCAAGGTGTTGCCATTGACACATGAAGGAAATCTTAGAAGTTCTATTATATAGAAACATTAATTCTGCGTTTTCGACAAACCTTCGGCCAAGAACATTTTCCTGATAGTGCAAGGTGTTGCCATTGACACATGAAGGAAATCTTAGAAGTTCTATTATATAGAAACATTAATTCCGCGTTTTCGACAAACCTTCGGCCAAGAACATTTTCCTGATAGTGCAAGGTGTTGCCATTGACACATGAAGGAAATCTTAGAAGTTCTATTATATAGAAACATTAATTCCGCGTTTTCGACAAACCTTCGGCCAAGAACATTTTCCTGATAGTGCAAGGTGTTGGCCTTGATACATGAAGGAAATCTTAGAAGTTCTATTATATAGAAACATTAATTCCGCGTTTTCGACAAACCTTCGGCCAAGAACATTTTCCTGATAGTGCAAGGTGTTGGCCTTGATACATGAAGGAAA